AAATAAATAAATAAATAAATAAAATAAAAATAAACAGGTTCATGGATGTATGGATGGAAAAACAGATAGATTATCAAATCAGTAGATAGAAGGATAGATGGATGGATAATGGGTCAGACTGAATATATCTATATTGAATGACATGAAAAACAAATAAACCAATAGATGACTGAATAAATATATAGGGAGAATGGATGGACAAATCAACGACTGCAGAAATAAATAGATGGATAAACAAATAGATGGATAAAAATAAACAGATGGATAAACAGGCCGACTAATCAATATGGTGAATGAGGCTCAGGCAGGCCACCCCGCAGCCCTGACCAGTGAGCATGGCCCATCTTCCCTGCGGCCCCACAGGCAGCCACACCTTCCACATATTCCATGACCATGCAGAGGTGGCGCCGAGTCTCGAAGGAGCAGAACATGCCAACCACAAACGGGTTCTCGGCGAAGGTGAGGATGTCGCGCTCCACGAAGGCCTGCTGGATCTGGTTGCGGAGGATCAAGTTCTGCTTGTTGATCTTTTTCATGGCAAAGCGCTGCCGTGTGTCACGGTGCCGCACCAGGTAAACAGCCCTGCAGGGGGAGAGAGCGAGGACCGGCCGTCACCTCCGAGACACCCGGCCTCCGCCACCCTCCCCCCGCCAGAGCCCCGGGTGGCTCACCCGTAGGCGCCGTTGCTTATGAGCTTGATGGTGTCAAAGTCATTCTCCCCGGGAGGTTTCTTGGCCTTGCTGCTGCGGCCCTTCAGGGAAAAGATGAAGACCACACCTCCATCATCATCATGACAGTAGGATGCTTTTAATTTCATTTTACACACGGAGAAACTGAGGCACAGAAAGGATGAGAAAGTCCTTCATCCAAGTGCCATAATGAAAGAGAAAGTCAGGAATTGAACCCAAGACTGACGCTGAAGACATATTCTCATTTTCTTCCTTTAGAAAAGATAGCAGGAAACCTACAAAATAGTCACCCTAATATATAAATATATAAAGAGTTCCCAAAAATCAATAACAAAAGCCTAACAATTGAAGAGAAAAAAAAGTAGGTGAGGAAAGTCAATTACAAATTACAGTTAGAGTTTCTTTTTTTTGAGATAGGTTCTCACTCTGATGTTCAGGCTAGAGTGTAGTGGTGCTCACTGCAGCCTCCACCTCTAGGGCTCAAGTGATTCTCCTGCCTCAGCCTCCCAGGTAGCTGGGACAACAGGCACATGCCACCACGCCAGGCTAATTTTAGTAATTTGGTTTTGCCATCTTGCCCAGGCTGCTCTTGAACTCCTGGACTGAAGCAATCTGCCTGCCTTGGCCTCCCAAAGAGTAGGGACTACAGGCATGAGCCACTGTACCCAGCCAGTTGTAGCTCTTAAACATATTAAAAGATTTGGGCCGGGTGCAGTGGCTCATGCCTGTAATCCCAGCACTTTGAGAGGCCGAGGCAGGTGGATCACAAGGTCAGATCGAGATCATCCTGGCTAACATGGTGAAACCCCGTCTTTACTGAAAATTTTAAAAATCAAGTGGGTGTGGTGGCATGTGCCTGTAATCCCAGCTATTCAGGAGGCTGAGGCAGGAGAATGGTGTGAACCCGGGAGGCGGAGCTTGCAGTGAACAGAGATCACGCCACTGCACTTCAGCTTAGGC